TCACTCACCCACAAGCAGGTTCAGAACAATGTAGGTGATAATGACGTAGAAGGTACAGAAGTAGACAATAGACACCAGGTAGTTCCCACAGTCTGTCTCCCAGTAGTTGCCTCCTTCTGTACAGAACGGAGGGCTCACCTGAGAGGGGGGGGCGGGGAAGGGATTAAAGAGGAAAGGGGGGGGGGCATATACACAATGTTTATCTCAATATATAACATTCATTATGCAAACATAAGAAATGATGGGCTCGTCTCAGGGGGTGGGGGAGAGGGGGAAACATAAGCACATTGTTCATCTCTGTATAGTATCTATTACCCTACCATAGTAAATGTTTATCTCAAAATAGACCTAATATTTATCACCTTAACATAATAAACAAAGGGCCCACCTAAGGGGGTGGGCTGAGGGGGACATTAGCACAATGTTTATCTCAATATAAACCTAATATTTATCACCCTAACATAATAAACTAAGGATTCACCTGAAGGGGTGGGGGAGAGGGGGGAACATAAACACATTATCTCCAAAAATATATATTACCCTAACGTAATAAATGTAGGGCTCACCTGTGGGAAAGGGCGGGGTGGGGAGGGAGAAGGAGGGACATTGTATAGGTCAATATAAATTTTATTTCCCTACCATAGTAAACGGAGGACTCACCTGAGGTGGTAGGGGGCATGGGGGAGAGGGGGGAGGGACATGATCGCAATGTTTATCCCAGTATAATATTTATTACCATGACGGACATGATCGCAATGTTTATCTCAATATAATATTTATTACCATGAGGGACATTGGGGGATGGGGGCAGGAGAGGGAGGAAGGGCATGAGCACAATATTTGCCTCAATAAAATAAAACTAAACTTTTTTATCTCGGGGGGCAAGCAATCTATGCCGGGCCCCTTCTTTGGTACTAAATCTAAAAATGACAAAAACGTAACTAAATGGGTCATTAAATTAAAACAAGTGAACCTATTTCGATAGTTCTTCATCTGATGAATGAAATCCCAGTAAAAGAGACCTGTTTTCAGCAATTGCCGAAAAGTAATTTGGTGTCAAAGTCGTCGAAAAGGAATGTAACTGAGCCACTCTCGTTCCCTTTTTCATATCTTTCTAATTCATTCTTTCTCCTTCTTCCTTCCTCTTTACATGTTGAATATTTGTTTCATTGCCCTTCTTTCTCTCCATCTCTCTCATTCTCTTTTCCTATCTCTCTCCTCCTCAAAGTTGAGACGGAGCTTTTTACAGAACCTAACAGCATCAAAAGTTGCATTAAACCCAAACCATGCTACACAATCAGTTCCAAGGACCTTTTTTTTTTCTTTGCTAACCACAAGAGGCATCCGTGTGGATAATAATAGTAATAATAATAATAACAGATTTCATTTATCTAGCGCTCTATCCCATAAGACTATAAGCTCCAAGTATTTTGACATCAATCACATGATCACTGAGCGTAATACATCATTCACACAGGATAAAACATTTCACAGAAACAAGAAACATCAGTTCAACCACATAAAAAAGAACCATCACAAGTGAGGAGGCTTACCATACAGTCGTGCATGATCTTGTTCCAGTCCTCGCCGGTGACGATGCGGAACAACAGCAGAACGGCGTTGTAGGCAGTCTCAAAGTTCGCATGCCTAGACGTTATTGAGAAAAAATCAAGAAATTGGTAGATCAATCTAAATGTTAAAAGTGAAAATAAAAGTGGTAAAGCTAAAGCTCATGATTAGTCTGTTTTAGAATTTGAGCATGGAAAGAAAGAACAATGAAATATACACAGATTTATTTGAGTATTATTTATTATTGAAGACGAATGATTGGCCTTTGAGTGCTGTACCCCCCCCCCCCTTCCGTATGAAAAAACAAAGGTAAACTATAACTTTCACTCCTGCACAAAGATGCAATGCTTTGGGGTCAAACTGCAGTATTTCTTTTGCTGCAGATCACGCATATGACCACCTAAACTGTTGTAAATCAATAATTTTCAAGAAAATTTCAAACCTTAATCCAAAACATCCTATTATGCGGGAAAAACTGGGGGATATGCCTCCTTGTAACCCCCCAGATTCTTTTAGGTCAGATGAGCATCGCTTTTTAAGGGAAAAGGGGCAAATCCCCCCCCCCCCCCTCCCCTTCTCCGATTGGTCAAAAGCATGGAAATTACTATGCAATTAGGCTTAGTGTAATATAGGCTAGTTTGAATAAAGACCATCAAATATTTCAAAAACTATAAATTGGCTAGGGATATAGAGTCAATATTCGTGTAAAACGGATAAAAATGAACAAGGAAAGGACTATACAATACATGAGCATGAGATGGTAGTGAAAGTAAAGCAATAATAATAATAAATAGCATTTATGCGGCTCATTTCTTTTTTCCAAAGAATGCTCAATGCGCATTACATTAATAAAAATATTACACCTTAAAATTAAAGGACATGTGCGTCCGTAAGACATAGTATTATGCAAAATATGTATATGTATAAATTTCTATGAGAAAAAATATGCACGCAATGAACCTGGCAATGCCTTCGCTAAAAACATAGAAGGCAATAAAAACTCATGAACAGTTACAATAAAATTGAAACTTAAGTAGCTAGAAACATTCAATTAAAATGTTCGTTCTCTATAAATAGAAAAACATATCCACTC